ACACACACACACACACACACACACACACACACACACACACACACACACACTGTCTCTTTAAAAGTCATCATAGGGGCTGGAGAGATGGCTCAGCTGTTAAAGGCTAGGCTCACAACCAAAAATATAAAAGTCATCATAGGTGGCCTGCTAAGACAACTCAGTGGGTAAAGGTGCCTGTTGCCAAGCATGATGGTGCTGAGTTTGATTTTCAGAACCATGTGGGTAGAAGGAGAGAGCTGACTCTTGAAAGTTGTCTTCTGACTTCCATGCTTGTACTATAGCTGATGCACACATACATGCTTCTGCTCTCCCCCCTTCTCTCTCACACACAGTAAATAAAAATGTTATAAAAACCAAGTAGTGATAAGTGCAAAATGACAGAATTGGAAAGATTTGTGACACACACAGAAAGTGAGTGTTTATTTTGCTAATATTGCATAAAGTATCACCTCCCCACTGGAGTACTTATACCTTAGGTACTTTTCTATTGCTGTGGTAAAATATCTCAACAGTAGCAGCTTTAAAAAGTGGGGAGGGGGCTTATTTTGTCTTCCAGTTTGAAGTATAGTAGATTGTTGGGAGGGAAGGCAAAGCAGCAGTGGGAGCTTAAAACAGCTGGTCAGGTTGTCCCCACTGTTGGAAAGCAGAGAGAGATGAACATTTGTGCTGGGCTAGCCTTCTCCTTTTTGTGGAGTCTAGAATTCTAGTCTGGGGAATGGTGCTACTTACTTCTAGTTTTGGGTCTTTTCCCCTCAGTTAACCTTATCAACATAATCCTTCCCTGGTGTGCTGATGTTTTGTCTCCTAGGCGATTCCAAGATCATTTCAAGTTGATGGTTAACATAACCTTCACTTGTCAATAAAATTGAAATGATTAGTACATGGGCCAGATGTATACAAGAATGCTATTCACAGAATCAAAGAATATAACGTTACTTTGCTAGGGATTAGAAAAAGGATCTATGGAAAGCTACTTACTAGTGTCCATAAATTTTCAGTGAAGCAAGATAAATAAGCTGTAGTGATAGATCCAGGACAGCATTGTACCTGCAGTCAACAACAGCATCCTAGGCCTTAAAATTCTTATGAAGATAGTTTATGTTAAGTAGTTCTACTTTTTTGAATAGTACGTATCACTTGGCTTCAAACTTGAGATACTCCTGCCTCAGTCTTTAAAATGTTATTACAAGCATATTCTATTATACCTGGTTTTGGTGTTTCTGTGTGTGTGTTCATGAATTCGTATGTATGTATGTATGTATGTATGTATGTATGTATGTGAGTGAAGGTTAAATTGTAATTAAAAAGTTATATATAACCACTCACTAAATACAAGTACTTGCTAATTAATGTTTATAATAATTAAAAGTCATATTATTTTTCCATAGATTTTTGTGTTTTGGAATAAATTTTGTTTTTTATTCCTGCTGATATAAAGTCTTCCCACTCCCTTGAAGATACCTTCCATTAAATTTTGAGCTGTCTAGATTTTATTGTGGCTTATAAAAGTAAAGAATTGCCATGCTTCTTTTCTTGGGAGGTGGGGAATAAGCACAAATTAAGTTACTGACAATTATAGATTATTATCATAGTTTTAAAACTTGGATTAAAAGAGGATAAGATGAATCTTTATTTCTGAGGATATTTCTGAGAATCCTTACAGCTATTTTTAACTGCTTGCAAGCTGCTCTGTCTTTGCTAATTGAGGGGAACGCTGATATTGGTTTTTCTTTTTGTGTTGTTCTCAGCACATGCAGATGACAATCCAGGCTCTCCAGGATGAGCTTCGGATTCAGAGGGACTTGAATCAGCTTTTTCAGCAAGATAGCAGCAGTAGGACTGGGGAGCCTTGTGTGGCTGAGCTCACAGAGGAGAACTTCCAGAGGCTGCATGCTGAGCACGAGAGGCAAGCCAAAGAGCTGTTTCTTCTGCGGAAGACCCTGGAGGAAATGGAGCTGAGGATTGAGACTCAGAAGCAAACCCTAAATGCTCGGGATGAGTCCATAAAGAAGCTTCTGGAGATGCTACAGAGCAAAGGACTTTCTGCCAAAGCTACAGAGGAAGACCATGAGAGAACGAGACGGCTGGCAGAGGCAGAGATGCATGTCCATCACCTAGAGAGTCTTTTGGAACAGAAGGAAAAAGAGAATAATATGTTGAGAGAGGTGAGTGACTGCCTTTTCAGTTACTGGTTGTCTTTTTTTTTCTTATTAATCAGAATTTTGCCCTAGATAAATTTACGTTCTCTTCTGTGCTGCTGGATAGGAATTTGTTTCTTGTGTTTCAACACTTCAGTGATTTCTTTCTGATTTTTTTTCTCTTAAACAGAATGACATCACCTGGCATATATGTTACCAATAGCATCCTCACCCCGTCACTCTACATGTGATTCTTATGGGGTTCCTGGGTTGCTGAAGGGATGCAGGATTGTTTCATTTTGTTACTTGCCTCTCTTTGTTCATAGAGATAGAACAGCAAAACCAGAGTCAGGGTAACAGCTAACTAGTGCTCAATTAAAACAATACTAGTAAAAGGCTGTAAACTGTTACCTCAGCTCACCTATGCCAGCAAAGCTCGAGTGGTAATGAATGTCTCCTGTGGTTTCCCTGGAAACGATTGCCTTGTTGTGAATGATATGTGTTAAAAATCTTTGGCCATGGAGTGTAGCCAGAAGGAGTGATATAGAGACACATGATTTTATATGAAAGTCTCAAGCTGGCCTCTGTGATTAGACCTTACTTTCTGAGGCAGTAACATTTTAAGAAAGCATAGAGGAAGAATTCATCTTACGTTGAGCTAATTTAAAAGCTTTAGTACATTTTATATGTCTGATTTCTTAGGGTTTCTATTGCAGTTATAAAACACTATGACCAAATGCAACTTGGGGAGAAAAAGATTTATTTTACTTACAGTTTAAATCACAGTCCATCACTGAGGAAAGTCAACCCTCAGTGCATGAATTCAACCAGAGCAGGAACCTGGAGACAGGAGCTGATGCAGAGGCTATGCAAAGGTGCTGGTTACTTTCTGGTTCCCATGGCTTGCTCAGCCTGCTTTCTTGTATATCATTAGATCAGCTTCTCCGGAATGCCATCACCCACAGTGGGCTGGGTTTTCTCCCATCTATCACTAGTTAAGAAACTATACTATAGACTTGCCCACAGGCTAGTCTGGGGCTGTGTTGGATTTTCTTAATTGAGATTCCCTCTTCCAAGATGACTCTAGACTGTATCAAGTTGATAAAAAACTAGCCAGTGCTTCTGGTTAGATATAAAATTCTTTTTAGCTTCCCTGGGATCATAGGGATTCACCAGTATAACCAGCTAACTTTCACATTTTGATAGGGGGACTAGGAATCCTCCAATTGTTAGGATGAGTCTGAATAATCCCTTTTTAACATGATTTGGGAAGAAGAAAATTAAGAAGAAACAAACATATTCAACTGAGCATGATAGAGCATGGCTTTAATCCTAGCGCTCGGGAGGAAGAAGCAGGCAAATCTCTGTGAATTGAAAGCCAGCTTGGTCCACATAATGAGAAACTGTCTCAAACAAACACATAAAAACACCCAAGAAACTAATACCAACACAAAACTGCTGAGTATGGTGGTACATGCTTTTAATCCTTGCATTTGGGAGAAGCAGAGGCAGGGGCAGAGGAGGCAGAGGAGGCAGAGGAGGAAGAGGCAGAAGCAGGCGACTCTTGAGTCAGAGGCCAGTCTGGTTGACATAGTGAGCTGCATGATAGTCAGGGCTACACAGAGAAACTATGCAGCTGTTCAAAAGTAAAAATTCCAGGTGTATATTGGGACAAATACAAACTTGGTGATGTCTTTTTTCCAATTATAATTTCCTGCTTTAGGAATATTACATTTTTGCTGCTTCTGAACATTTCAGCCTATCCTGGTAGTTTAGGAACTAATAAATGCCAAGTAGTTAAAGGATATGGGAAGTCACAATTTATACATATATACATACACATACATATACATACACATATAGGCTATGAACAATTAGGAGTATATTGAGCTCAAAAATACTGAAAAAAAAAACCCTCTGGGAGTTTTAGACTGTTTTTTAAAAAATTAAATCGTATAAATAAATTATGTATATAAGAAAATATATTTCCCTGTGAATGTACTGTAACAGGTACTATTTAAAAAAAGCTGCTCGGTCCAGCAATGCTAGCTATCTGAGCCACCCACCATGTTCCCGATTAGAAGCGGCCAGAGGTCAAGAGCATCCCAGGAGATGTTACCGGGGAGGCTCGTTCCGCCGATCAGCTCCGTTAGGGACCATGGCCCAAAGCATAGATTTTGGGCCAATCCAGTCAGCCTCATGGTTCTCTGCTAAGCCCCAGACTATACTCACCATCCTCGTGGTACCCGGTAAAAATGAGACTCTTAATTCTTAAAGATTATCCAAAGGATTATAAATTTGGAAATGCTCAATTAACAAGATACCCACACAATTAGAGTTGTTACCCAATACCTAACCTTTAGATATGAGTTGTTACCCAGGACTGCTCTCGGCCAGTTTGTCCTCCTCCATGGCTGTTAGTCTCTTCCTCCCTCTCCTCTTCTTCCTTCTCCTTTCCACTCTTAGATCCTCCCACATTAGCTCCTCCTAAATTACCGAGCTTTATTGCAAATGTGTGTGTGTGTGTTGGGGGGGGATATCCCGCTACAATGTACCACCAAACAGTTCAAGGCTGCCATTTGTAACATAATGTCTTATAAGAAATATAATCATGCTACTTCAAATTACTTGAAGGCAAGTGGACACAGTGGCTTTGAAAATAATTCTTCTTTTTCTTCCTTCAAGACTTAGCTTACATCAATTCTGCAGTGAAGTTTCAGTGTGTAGTGTTGTATGTACGTGCAGTCGCAGTGATCATGTACATGTGGTAGCAGTGGGCGTGTGAGTATCCAAAGCACTTTCCCTTTTGAGATGGATACTTACTAAGGAGCCCTGGCTGTCCTTGGACTCCCTCTACCCCCAAGGATGCTAGATAAAATTAATAACTCTTCACCACCAGACCAAATAAATGCTTAATAAAATAAGAACTGAATTATAGTTTTATAGTCTGGCTTAAGTAAGTAATAGTTCAGTAAATATATATTTACTAGAAAGCATTCTGCTTACTAGTCACATACTGAAGTAGGAAGAGGTAAAGATGGTTGTGCCAGTTGATATTTAAGAGAATTTTTTAAGTTTTATCTAATAATCTAATAAGATAAGGGAAAAGAGTAAACAATATCATTAATGGAAAAGATGGTACTCAGTTTTCATTATTGCAGAAACCAATATGCAGATGTCATTTCCCCCTAATTTATCAGTTAATTGTGTTTATACTGAGAATTGTCTAGTAATCCTTGGGGGGGACTTATGTAGGTAGATCAGAATACATGTATATTTAATCCACTGGTGGTGTTTATCTGTAAAACGAGCACTTGGGAGACAGTGACAGAGAATTTCAAGGTCAAGGCCAGCTTGATCAAAGAAAACAGAACAGAATCTAGAAATAATGCAGTGTTAAGTATATGACCAATATTTTAAGATAATACTCATCATTTTGAAAATACTTAGTTACATAATATAAATTCTAGATGAATTAAAGGACTATTTAGAAAGAGACATTAGAAGAAAACATAAGCAGAAAACTTTAAATATAGTCTTTGGCATGGAAGACTCATTGCTATAGCAAGAACATTAATAAATTAAACATATACATTAGAGGTTATAGTTAACAAAGGTAAAGTGATAACCCAGGGCACAGATTTTAACACGTACCTTGACCTTACCTTGACCTTACCTTGACCTTACCTTGACCTTACCTGTAGACTGGTTTCTAAAGCAGTAAGATGCCAGAGGTGCTGGCTCCCACGGTTTTGTTCTCACTCATTCCTTTACTCAACAGTTACTTAGTAAGCTCCTAGTAAGTGTTGATCTTGTGACAATAGATATTAATATTTACAGTCCGTATCCTTTAAAGACTCCCAGATTTGAGCTGGAGAGTTGTATCTGTAGTTAAGAGCTTCCTGTACTCTCACTTTACGCATTCAGCACATGTACAAGTGGTGTATGCCTTATAATCACTGGTCTCTTAGACTTAGTAAATGACATAATAGTAAAATAACATGTGTGCTATTACTCATTACAATATTTGCTTCATTTATGAACATGATTCTGTATACCCCCAATATTAAAACTAATATTTGATTATTATATTTTGTGTCAAGGTTTCATTATGGTTGGAGCTTGAGTTTTCTGTTGGTCATGGGAGTGTTTCATTGCTGTGCTGTTCCACCTTCCGTTTGATAGATGAGCGAGGACATCTGTTGGACAAGCAGTAAATTACATGCTATGCTTGCTTAGTGCTTTGGGCTTGGACACTTGGAGTTGTAACAAACTTTGCAGGTGATTGCTATATAGCAAACTTGGAGAAATAAACTATGAGTCTCAGTGTCTTGGTAGAGGATATTGAAGTTGGCTCTGGAATTTTAAGAAACTCTTCTATTCCTGCGTGTACAAAACATTGCAACTCAATAATATATTTCAGACCTCTATTTCTTTCTTTGAAATGTTGGCAGATGTTTGCCTTTTTTTAGGTGGCTTTTTTGTTTGTTTGTTTTTGCTTTTGGGGGAGAGTGTATTGTCTTGTCTTGTTTTGTTTTTGAGATGAAGTCTAGCTATTTAGCTCAGCTGGCCTTGGACTTTCTATATAGACTAAGCTGGCTTTCAACATATTCAACATATTGAGGTCTACCTGCCTCTGCCTCCCTAGGTAGGAATTAAAGTTTTATCAAATCATTACCAGGCTGCACTTTTTTTGTAATGAATTACATTATATTCTATTTGACTGTTTTGTTTGTTGGTTTGGTTTGTTTCCTATGGCATTTTAATCTGAGTCTTGTTAGTACAGCTTTTCTTTTCTTTTCTTTTCTTTTCTTTTTTTTTTTTTTTTTTTTTTTTTTTTTTTTTTTTTTTTGGTTTGGTTTTTCGAGACAGGGTTTCTCTGTGTAGTCCTGGCTGTCCTGGAACTCACTCTGTAGACCAGGCTAGCCTCGAACTCTCGAACTCAGAAATCCGCCTGCCTCTGCCTCCCAAGTGCTGGGATTAAAGGCGTGCGCCACCACTTCTTTTCTTTTCTTTTCTTTTCTTTT